AGCTTTGGTACACTTTTAAAAAATTAAGGCTTTCATGACACCTAAAACTATTGCAAGAAGAGAAATAATCATTTTATCCTTTTTTCAAGGCTGAATTATGCCCTCCGCAAATTCACATGTTGAAGTTGTAAACCCCAGTAGCTCAGAATGTATTCAGAGATGGACGCTTTACAGAAGTAATTAAGTTAAGTGAGGTCATGAGGGTCGGCCCTAACCCGATATGACTGGTATCCTTAAAAATGGAGATTAGGACACACACAGGTACAGGGGAAGACCACATGAAGACACAGGGAGAAGACAGTCACCTCAAGCCAAGGAGAGAGGCCCTCCGAGGAAACTAATCTGCCTAACCTTGGACTCAAACTTCTAGCTTTCATTACCGTGAGGAAATAGGCTTCTGTAATTTAAGGCCCCCCGTGTGTGTGGTACTCTGTCATGGCAACTCTAGCAAACTCATACATTCCCCAGTTATGACACCTCTGTCACAGAAGTTTATGGTGCCTTATGCCAGTTTCAACTTTATGAGAAATTGCCTGAAGGTCTTTTGGCAGAGCTTCTTTCCATGCAGACTACACAAATAAGGTGTCAATTTCTGAATTACAGAATATTTTTATAACATTAGCAATTACCATATTCCCACTTCTTAAAAGACACTTTTTAAAAATGCTAACTATGGCATCGATTTTCATTTGGAAATTTTCTATTTTCTTGCCTTACATCAAAAAAAGTTGTCATTGGAAGTTTAACATAGCTGTCTATATTTTTTGAAATGAAAAGCATTACCAAGAAGAGATACTCTAACTATGCTTCGAATTTTGAAGATAGTTTGTTGAGCACCAAATTCTAATATGTAGTAAAACACTCTTTTTGGAACCCAGACTTAATAAGATTACTCTTACCCCACCCCCACCCACGAATATCTACACGATTAACATAACATTTGGCTCTTGACTCGAACCTTATATGTATGACAAAATCATAAATGCTTCAGCTGAATTGAAGGGAACTTTTGGGGGTAATCTGCAAATATTGAGGTACAGAGAAAAATATGACTGAGAGGGAGACTAAAAAGATTTTAAAATGTTTTTTCAGCCCAAACTTTTTGCCACCCTACAGTGCAACCATGTAACCAAAAAACTATTTGCACCTCCTAAAGCTATTGAAATAAAGAACAAAAAGTTTTCTCTGTAGATTAATGAAAAAGGCAAATCATAAAATAATATGTATATTCAGTATGTAGTTCTAAAATTTTTAAACTAGGAGAAAAAAGTTATGGGAATAAAATGGTTTTACTTTTTTTTTTTTTTTTATCTTTAAGGGTAATACTGTTGAGCATCTCACAGGGCCAATTACACAGCAATGGTCCCACAGAGACTTTACTGCTGAGAGAAATTCAGATTTTCTGGTGTCCCTCAGAGGAGTGCAAATAAAGTTTTTAAACCAATCATCTTATATACTATACATGAAACCAAATCTCAATTTGGATTAATGTTGAGCATCCAAGAATTTTATTCTTGAAATAACTTCCAAAACCGGAGAGTAAAGTTCTTTAAAGTACTACCTTAAAAAAATATTTACTGATAACATGAGGTTATTATCAGGCTACATTAGAGAAATAAAATATCTTTAAGAAAATGTGCCTTATGTGAAAACAAGTGAAGCAAAAGAGTTTTATGATATCTGTGGCCCATGCAAGATTGGGCCACAGCAAATCAAAACATTTAGAAATACTTTCCAAATGGCAATTAATATTAAAAAGGGAGTGAGAGGATACTAAACACACATACACACTCAAATAAAAAACCTGAGCCTTAATCATGAACATCGCACAAGGCACTACAGAAGAATTAATTCTATATCTACACTAACTTCTCCAAAAAGCCCAACCCAAAATAGCTTTCTAGAAACTCATAATTCAGATGGTAATAACCGTGGCTCTGCTGGTTACTGGCTGTGTGGCCTTGACCAAGTCACTTAACCTTCTTTATCCCAGTTTCCCCTCTCGAGGGGAGACAAGAGCGGACCCATCTCAGTGGGTTGTTGTGAGTATTGCATGAGTTTCTCCACGTAGGGCCTTACCACAGCACCTGAAATTTGTTTGATATGTATCATGTAATTATTGGTGGCAGTGCTGGGCAGTAGGCATAGAGCAACCCCAAAACCAACCACAGTCAGAGCATGAAGAGTGCGCTAAAATGTCTGGTGAGGCCACAATGGACAAACCAATAAAAATTCCAATCTAGTCAACATCTAAACACATCCGAGAGTTTTATGGACACATTTTTTTCCCATCAGACGTAACTGTCCCAGAAATTCTCATTTCCTCTAGTCTGAGTTGAACATAGACACAGAGTACTGGACCAGCAAAAGAGCACGCCATTCTTCAAGGTGCTCCCTGAAACTGCTGACCTTAGGGCCTAGCAATGAGATAGTCAGCACAGCCTTCGTCAAATCAAGGTTAAATGTGTATTTAGCTAAAACACCAGCCCAGAATGCTGTAGGCACATTTTGTTCACCAGAATACTGTGAACTGCAAGATCCTCAGTCGCGGCCACGGATGACCACTCGCCCAAAGAGTCCACTGCAGAACGGGAAGGGAGGGGACAGCAACGCTGCGTGGTCCTCGGTTCGGGCACGTCGGCAGCCCTGCCGCGGGCACACCCTGGAGCCAGCTTCTTCTGGTCTGGGTCCCCTCAACCACTGCCCGCCAAGGGCATGTGTGAAGAGCACCCACCGCCCATGGCTGATCGTGTGCTCCCTTCAGTGGTAAGAGCTGTGTAAGTACAGGAATGGTTTGAACAATGTTATCGGACCCTGACCACCCTCTTGAGAAGCTATATCCAATTTTCATCCCCCTTCCCTGTTGCCTCCTATTCTCTTTCTTTTCTCTCCTCCAGAAATTGCGTCTCAGGCTTAAGCAAGCGAGCATAAATAGGGCTTTTTTTGACTAGCTGCAAAACTCCAGTGGTGAACACTGCACATAGCGTTTCTGATCTAATCCCTACTTATATGTCCCAGGACGTTCTGAAAGATTTAGGCCAGAGTTGACTTTTCTCTCTCCTATCTATGTCCTGAGTGTCCTTGGCCTACTGTGGACATATAATTTCTTAAGCGCAAGGACATTTCACATCATCTCCCTTGGCTATATCTAATTCCTTACATGTGGATAGGCTGGCTTTTTATATAATCACTATTTATTTCTTTAGTGCATTTCTATCTACCGCGAGTATGCTGCCAAACATTTCAAAGCTTTCTGCTTTAAAGCACAAGTCAATAGAAAAAGATGGGAGATACACAAAAAGTAAAAGAGACATGCTTCTTTTAAACAAAAGCTGAATGTGGTTTAACTCAAACTGAGTTTTTGAATTATACCAGAGCCAGTATGTAAAACCACACTGACGAGAACATATAAAGCACCGCAAATAGCAAATTAATGAATCAACACAGCAGAGCAATGTATATCTAGAACAAGCATTCTGCAACATGGTCGTCTTAGTGCTAAAGTTGCAAGGTCATATATTACATTTTCTAAATTTTTCTTGGCCATTTATTTTTTTCAATTCAAACTATTCTACTGTATTTTCTTCTTCTTTTTTTATTTAAAGAACATTTGAAACGATACATTTAAGAACTATTTGGGGTCGAGCGCGGTGGCTCAAGCCTGTAATTCCACCACTTTGGGAGGCCGAGGTGAGAGGACTGACTGAGCCCTCAGGTTCAAGACCAGCCTGGGCAACTTCGTAAGACCTCATCTCTACAATGAAAAAAAAAATTAGCCGGGCGTGGTAGCGTGCGCCTGCAGTTCCGGCTACTCGGAAGGCTGAGGCGGAAGGATCGCCGGAGTCCAGCGGGTGGAGGCTGCGGTGGCTGAGCGCGTGCCACTGCTCTCCAGCCTGGGCAACGGAGTGAGACTCCAACTCAAAAAAACAAAAACAAAACTATTTTGTTCTCTGCTACATGCTGACAAGAAACAGGAATGTTACCGCAGGGACTAAGTGATGTAAAGAATTAGCCACTACTAAGAATCAACATCTTTTGAATGAATCAACTTGCAGGCAGTATCCAAATTATTACTCTTGAATTGGGAGAAGTTGAATACCTTTAAAACTTTTTGTTGCTAAAAAACTATCCTCCCAACTGACAAACTAAGAATATATATCAAGCATGTAAACAAATCTATATCCAGTTTTGAAGACCACTATACTACTGCTAGTTTAATGTTTCTGAAACATTTTGCTTTATTTCACATCCATGTGGCCGGCCATTTGTTTATTCTATTGCATACCATCTGTTTTTCAGTAGAGAGGTTTCAAGTTCTTCTCATTCCCTATCTCATATCCCACAGAAAACAATTTATAATAGACATAGAGTTAAATCATTTGGATTCATGTGGAGTTGGTAAGGCGAGCTGCCTTTCATTTGTATTTGGCAAATGCTTTAATGGGATTAGCAAATTGTGTTATTACGAGGCATTTATGGAGAGACAACACCTTTTTTTTTTTTTTCTTCTTCCCTAACCATGACAGATGATGTTAACAGTTTCATTTTGGGTCTTTAATAGTACAGAAAATTTCACTAGCGTTACAGGAAATTGCCCTGATAGACAATAAAGCCCTACCACAAACCCTGCCTATATCTTTTATTTCTGAGAGTCAATGGATATGTGTTTTGGGATGCAGTGGAGCTTACAGTGGGGAATAAATATCAAGTTGCTTTCCTCTTAAGGGGATGCTACCATTTAACACACAAACTTGAAAGCCCTGTCCAGTTCTTGGACGTTAAGCGCATTCCCTCAGCCCTACAACCATGGTCTCGCTTGTCTAGGCACTTAACGCGTGAAGGCTGTCCCCAAAGAACAGTTCCTGCCACAAACTCCAGCTCATCACACCAATGTATTCCCATTCTAGGGCTCCCTTTGGTTTGCTGTACAGAAGAGCTAACCATTCAGAGAGGCAACTTCCTGTGGAAGCTAGGCAGGTGATGGTTAAAGTGTTAATTACCGTTTTTACAAGGATCCTTGCTGCTCTCGTGGAGACGAGGTATCTGATGACAGCACCCAGCGGCCGTCCACAGTTCATGGTTGACATCCGAGGCTTGAGAAACATCAGTCTTGATGTCCACTTGACTTTCACTAGTCCTTACGTCATCAGAATCAGATATATTTTGGGGGCAAGTGGCATCCTGATGGATTCCTGATGGGTTTGGTTTGTTGACAGTGTTAAGTGACATTTGTACTAGAGTTTCATTGATGAAGAATGAATTTTCATGACATAAACTCTCAGATCGATTGAGTTCCATTACCTGTGTAAAGAATTATTTTAAAAAAGACATTAATTTTTCTAGCAACTTCCACAAGTTTCATAAGTATTTGTTCCTAAGAGATCTAGTGATCAAGATTTCAGTAAGAGTGAGGTCGAGAAGAATATTACTACCTACTTTCTCCTCCCATTCTCTTTTATTATTAAAATAAGAGTAATAAAAACTTCAGTTTGCTATGTGAGACACATCTTTAACAATAACAACAACAACAAAGGAGTAGTGGCAGTGTTCTATGACACTGAAGTGTTTCCATTTTATTTTAATCAGAGGAAGCGTCATTTCTCGCTTTTCCTAGATAAAAAAAAGTTGAAAACACATCCCTATATACATGAGGAGTTTGCAATAAACATAATTTAGCCAACTTGAAAGGAAAAACAGATGCAACAAAGATCCTTCTTATAAGCTTATTAACTCCTGCAACTTTATGTGCTATGGATAAAAAGCACGCATGCACATAGCACAGAAAAATAAACTCTTGGGACCAACGGAATTGCTAAGCATGGTTAGAAAGGATGCTAATCAGTAAATAAAAAACTCACTAGAGAAGAAGATTTTGAATTTACTGTATCACATTTATAGAGAGGGAATAAGCTCAGCATAACAGAATAGCACTATACTTGCTAAATTCAGTACCTATAATGTGCATTATAGCTAAGTGATCTACTAGAACTCTTAAGAACAGATCACACAAAGAGGGTCCTCCAAGACCTGGAAAAACAGCGCCCTCATGGGGACTGTGCCCCCAAGGACGTATCTTCCCTCCCTTTCCCGGACAACGGGATTCTCCAGGTAAGGGCGACTCGGAGTCCTGCGACCCAGCGGTCCACTGGCCTTCACACTAGCCACGTTTTAATTCAAGGTGCACGTGTACCAGGCACGGCGGCTCAGGCCGGCAATCCCGGCCCTGTGGAGGCCGAGGCGGGAGCAAGGCCCGGGCCCAGCCGTCCGAGGCCAAGAAGGGCGACGGCACAGGGCCGGGTTTCCGCAGAGAGCGGGGGCG